AAGATTGAATATAGACCCTCATTGCACTGGGAAATAACTACTACAATAAATAGTTGATCAATAAACAAATACATTAATACATAAATGTATGTGTTTTGTGTTTCAAGGAGAACACAGTGTTCATAGACACTAAGAAGATGGGCCTCATTAAGAAGAAAGTGAGAAAGCTGGAAGACCAGCTCGACTACGAGTCCCGAAGGTAAGAAATGAAAGTGGTCTCTAAGCCCTGACCTTCGCTCAGAAACAAACTCTGTCTTTGTGTATTTAACTCTTGCCCCTTCAATTCACCAGACTGTGGAGAGATGTGACGTTGAACCTTAAGCTGAAAGACATTGATTCAGCAACAGACGCCAAACACCGGCTGGAGGAGAAACAGAGAGCTGAAGCCAGAGAGAGGAAGGAGAATGAGCAACAGTGGGAGACCAGGGTGAGGCTATGTGCAAAATGCTGAGACATTAACACGCATCTTTTGCCCTATAAAGCACTATGTATTCGTGTTTTTGTGTAAAATTACTGAATACAACAGAATGGTGTAACATGATTTTAAAAAAATCAAAGTTTACTCTATACTTGATACGCAACAGATCCAACCTTTATATTTCACCGATAGACAAAGAGATTAGAAATGTCAGATACATTTGCAGATTCATTTTAGATTCAGCTCTAATATAATCATTTCAAATATTTGAGTGTAATCATTTTTTATTGCCTGTGTGTTTCTGCAGCTATTCCACGAGGACGGGGAGTGCTGGGTCTATGATGAGCCTCTATTAAAGAGATTAGTCCCTCAGAGGCACTGAGAAGACTACGCACACTCTGATACACACACATATGCATAAAGAAATGCACACACAACAGAGTCTTCATAAGAACTCTTTTGCAAAACCACTTCTTTTCCAAGCCTTGGAATGACTGATGATTGAATATGTACACAGCTTTGCATTTGACTGTAAAATAACAATATGGAAATGAATGAAATCAAATGGAAAAGCATCTAAGATGTAACATGAAAATTAGTAAAGCTCCTCTCATTATTTGGGCAACCTCACTTCCACCGCCACCGATACCCACCACCCGCCAACACGAGACTCGGCAGCGCAGAGTGGGGACGCGAGGGGTCGTCGCGTCTCACAGCTCTGTTCGTCAGCTTCACGGCCACACCCTTCGTCAGCTCCACAGGACGAGCCAGAGCAGCACTCGTTTCCCTACACAAAGGTTGTTTTTTTTAGACGGGGGGGCGGGCAAGGGGTGTGTGGTTGATGGTGTTAGAATCAAATAAACCTTGACAAATAAAACGGCGCTCTACATCTCAGGGAATCTGGTGACTGAGGAAAGAAAGCTGCTGCCCCCTCCGAGAGTCTGACAGCCTTATAACGGTGGAACGGATGAATCTTAAAGGGGCGGGGGAGAAATTCTCCGCTTGCCTGCAACTAGTTGTAACTGTTGTTTATATATAGATATACATATGATGGATATATAAATATATATTCTTTTTTTATTTTCAATGCTCTTTTTGTTTATTTTTTTTCTTTCTGGCAATAGTGTAAAATATTTGAGGATATGAACTTGATGGCTTTACATCTTCATTCCATTTACCCTTTTGATGTTTTGTTCCCATTTCAAGTTATCGTTGCCACCTATTTTTCTCCTTCACACTGTTCTGCGTCTCAAGTGTTATCCAGAAGCAAAGCCCTACATAAGCCATAGTATCTGAACACATTGATTTGGAGAGTTGTGACAGATTTATGGAACATATGCAATATAGAGATCATTGACATTGCCTGTCAGAGGACACATCTGGATGTCCATTATGCCAAAAAGGTTCCGATAAAAGGCTAAAGGGGCTTTCAACTGGACAGAGAACAAACAATCCTGAAAATGTTTCCATGTTGAAGGCATTTTATGAACAAATGATTGTTTACATATTTTTGTCTTTCTGGATCGCTGGTCCATGGTGAGGACTATGGCTAGGACTGAGTGTATGAAGTCTCCCCTTTGTTCCACACATCACCCATCCTTGTTTCTGCTCCAAACCCGAAGATGTCAGGGTGGATCAGAAGGTGAGGAGAGTGAAAACAAGGAACCAGAGTAGACTTGTGAAACACTGCTGCTGTTTCATAGTGCTGCTAGAGTCCAGACTGTGTTCTGTTCTACCAGTTCAGTTTTCTTGTAAACCTTTTTTCTCCAATGTTTTTCAAGATAAACATATTGAGGGCAATATTTATCCTACTGTACACCTCTGCTTCTTTGAACCATCATTCATTCTCTTATTTACAGCTACATAGTTTGGATCTAAATGCAATGATATTTGGATGAAATGCAGAAATAAACAATTTTCACCTGAAAATGCCCAAGAATATCTCTCAATGCTCTAGCGAGCTCGCAACAGAGTACCTCGTTATCTTTGTGGTCAAGATTTGATTATTGTCTGTTCAAGAAATTTGGCCTGTGTGAAAAGTAACCTGGTTCATTTAAAGGCATATTAAAATCAATCTGATGAAGACAAACATTTGTGGTGCCGTATGCACATCAAGTGAAAAACTTGGTAAAGATCTTGATGGCTGTAGTTGCAGTTGTAGAATTTAATCCTCCTCTGAAGCATATAAAGATGTCTTCAGAAACAAACCAGATGAAAGCTAAATTTGAAGCTGTTACTGTCTCTGCCCCCCATGTTGTGTCTGTGCGTTAGATTGAACAGAGGCCTTGCCATACATTTCAGTATCACTCAGTATCGCCTAATAAGGGCAATCGAAATGTATTTTTTATTTCATTTTGATCATAACCATTGATTGTATCAGATTTTTCTGTTTATTGATTGCCTGGGTCAGGACCTTCGATTATGCCCAATGGAGTGTAACGAGTTGATAATTCTGTCTGATATCAGGTGGCAAGTGATTTGCCACATTTCAACTGGCATCCGTTACAGAATAAAAACAACAAACGTTACATGAAAAGTAATAAACTGTGAAAATGGAACAACATACGAATGTTAAATCACCAACTACAGCAGAGAAGAAGCTGCTGGTGTGTCTGCAGCTGCAGGAGGACGACACTCCAACAGTCTTTGTTGTTGTTTTTACCAATGAAAATAAATACATGAATGAAAAAAAGAAGCTCAGCTTGGATCAGTGTTAGAAACGTTTCTTTCTTTCCATTTTGATGATTTACGTTAAAGTGGAAGAATAATAAACAGACATCAACACTGAACTGTTTTGAAGCATCCTAGAAGGAGGTAAAAGTCAGTGAGTAAGCTGAGGGTGTGTGTGGTTTCAGCTCAGCTATATTTGTAAAATGGACAGGATGTGACTAAAAGCACAAAATAGGGCACCTACAGTTCATCTTTCAACTGAGGCTCTGAGTTCAAACCACTGCTCTTTGAGTTGTCAGGTCTAAAGATTAGGCCAAAGGGTCCGGAGCGCACTGAGTGCATGGTTCCGGGTCAGCTGGGATGGGCACATACTTCACACCTGCACACACAGACAAATACAACATGTCAGCAGAACCAAACTGTACAGTACATTTCAACATGTTGTGAACATCTCATTCAGTTGCTGTTAGAAATAATGCCGAAAGAAATGAACCACGTGCTACAGAGTGTCTAAACTCCATAAACTAGACATTTAGTGATGTAAGATTAAATATATTATTAAGGGTTATTTAACTAATATTCAATATTGTCTTACCACCACTGTCAACTTTTTAGCTGCTGAGTAAATCTGCAACATTTGGCTGCTCATACTGATTTACCACTGTCAGACACTCTGATGCCAGAATCTGTGCATTTTTGATGTGTAGGAATAAAACATGCATTCCCTCTATCTTTGCTGTTTCCTTCCTTCAGTTGGGCAGCTGCCGTACCATCAGGGAGCCAATGATGGGCAGTTTCAGCTGAAGATGAACTCAAACGATATCTAGTTGGTGGAGATTTGTTAAAAACCAATGGCATCTGAGGTATTTTTATTCCTCCTTAGATCTTAAATTGGTGACATGGTTTATTGATTTGTTATATCAGGAAGACGTTCTTCAACACTCTACAAGTGATTTAGTCAGTGGCTTTAATGTGTGCTACTATAGCACCTGTATTGTACCTAGTATTAGCATCAAAACAAAACACCAGACTCATTTTGCAAAACTGCCCATTTTAAAATCATAAATATTATAGAATTATAATTATCAGTGCATGCATGTGTAAGCATCACGCTAATGTTGCAGCTGGGAAAGGCAATTTATATCCTGCTGGGTAACTTAATCTATTATAATCATCATAATACAACTCTATTTGTCGATGATCTTTCCCAGCCCTTTATGGCGCTGCTGTCCAAGATCCTGTTATTTTTTGTCTCAGCCACTGCCATCAACTTAAATTGTTTTCTTGGCAGAAGTCTTCATTTTCCCATTTGCTATTAGGAAAATACTTTTTCAGACCTTCATACTTTTTAGGGCCAAACATAAAGAAATATATCATAAAATAACACACTGATACAGCTGCTTTCCACAAATGTGCAGACTAAAATAATATATTTGCACTACATCACACCTCATTTACACAGTACTGTACTCCATCAAGAGAAGCTGTTTTTTGTTCTTCAGATCCATCAGGTGTGACAGTGTGAAGCACATGACTGGACCTCTGACAGCTGGATATTATGTTTGAAACATTTATAAAACAAATAAAGTTAACATCTCAAACTCCTCATTTTGTAAAACAAAAATAAATAAATAAGGAAGAAACTTCTCTAAACATCCTCATACTGCCCCCTTCTGGAGAGATCTTCCTCCTGATCTTCACCGCCCTCTCTAACTGAATGCTGCCCCCTGCTGGGACCACTCAGTATTTCTATATGCTGCAGGGTTCAATTCCGGGCCTTGACGCCCTGAGACGCCCTTGCTGTGAAGAGTACAGTCACTGACCAGCAGGGGCGCTAAGTCGCTGCATTATTTTTCCCATCATCCTTTGCGACGTTGCGTATAAAAGGGCGCTGCACCCTCTGCTAGTCCTCACTCCTCGGCTGTGCAGCAGGTAAATAGGTCCTCTCTTCTTCAGGCTGTTTGTTCTTATTGACTCTGGCAAGATTATTGATCCTTAGCTGTAAGGCTCTAGTGTTTACTCTCAGCTTTATGTTTTTCCTTAAGAATCTAAATGCTTTTTGTTAGATTAAATGTGTTTTGATGGGATTAATGTGAGCTGGCAGCAGCAGGCCTCCACCACGTGTCTCATTGCGCATGCAGATATGCTAATTAGCCGAGGAGCTTTACTTTTACTTTAAGTGATCTTGACTATTGTACTGCAGCTTTTCCCCATGACTGTGATGAAGTAAATGTTGGTAGGGACATCTGAATACTGTGAAGAAACGCCAACTCCTCTGATTTCATGGGAAAACTGCTTACAGTTCTTAGCTTTAAGTTAGCTGCACAGCTCCAGTGCTATTAGCTGCAGGGTGTGCGCCATTTAATGTGACTCAGTAGTTCAAACATTAAGTAAAGAGAAGCTGCATCGTTTTAAAACTCGTTTGCTCAAGTTTATAATGAACATTTTCGATTTTTGTTTGCAGGCCCGAGGACTGGATGTCAGCAGAATGGAGGCCGACATTAGATGGTGAGGAACCAGAAAGGCCTGATTACATTAAAGCCTTTATGAACTATGATTCATTGAGGTTGGATTAAGGATTGGGCTGCACAACTAACAGAAATAAAAAAATTTGCATCATGTGTAGTATCAAATCACAGAAGATGGCTTCACATCTTTTAATACTCTTCAGCAAGAATGTAATGAGATGCCAAAGTTAGTATTTCCAGCAACTAATGAATCCTACAGCAATATCTGTAGGAAGTTGAATGGATTTTGCCATATTGTGCAGCCCTAGTGAGCTTTTAGTTTCACTAAAAGAAATGGCATGTGAGAGCTGTGTAGCTAATGTGTTCTTCTTTTCTTCAGGTTTGAAAGGATAACTCCATGTTTTGAACATCAAATACTATACTGGTGAGTACAGTGCTTTT